CAAAGTGAATCACCATCACAGAATTTCTATCAAGATCAAAAATATAGGTGTCATCAACTTTACATCTGTAGCTCCAATGAACGACAAGAGAGCAGACGGTAGAAATCCCAAAAAAGACCTCATTCCCTCAGCTTCAACTTCAGTCAGGCAATTTCTTTAGCAGTATTGATGGGAGATCTCCTAATGAGGATTGGAACTGACAATTTAAAATCAACAGGCATACACCCAAAGCGAAAGCGTTTTCTGGGTCTTGCGCTCGTCCATACGATTCCAACCGGAATCGGAATGCGTAGCACATAATCGAAGGATTGGAGAGCACCGACTGGATTACCTAGTACCATACATCACACTACAGAAGATAAAACATTCGGATGAATCTCTACTACGAAAAAAAAAGTAAATCGTTCAAGCTGTTAAATCAGATCTCTTTGAATCAATACCTGTTTGAACGCATGCTGTCGTGGATCCGCTAGCGCATTCACATTCATTTGTGGGCATTGACCCTCTGAAAACATCGAAGTACTATTACTCTATAGAGTTTACGAAAAGGAAAGAAATTCACTCAGTAACATAATAAATCATAGTGGAATGCACGTTTTTGGTTATACTCCCCTTGAAGCTTTGTCAGCACCGCTATTTTGACGCGATGCAAAAGTGAACTTGTGCCGATGAGTTACGGTAGGTATATCATTACCGTCGACAGATGAGGCAGAGGAGCTCAGCAGTATGATGGTTAAATACGGCGTTTAGATGCACAAACGAAGGAAACTCGCTAATGACTCAAAAATCTTGAGATAATATTGTCTCCTATCTTTTGTGGGCCTTGAGCTCTTTTCTGTCGACTTTTATCCTCTAATATTGGCGGAGCTCTAGTAGGAAAAAAAGAATCAATCACAATAAGCACAAAACGTAGTCACTCACCAGGATCGCTATCGGTACTTTCTGTTGAAGACACGGTTTGACTGTTCGTTGACACATCTGGTGATCCTGGAATAAAAGTGTAGCCTTGATGATGGAGAGCTAACGAGCCACAGGAAAAGAGAAGTTTGATATAGTGAGC